CTGTGGGGCAGGGACAGTCCTGTGGGGCAGGGACCCCCCTCACAAGGCTCCGCCGTGCTCCCGCCCCGTGCCCTGTCCCACCGTGCCCGTGCAGTGGGAAACACCCGGTGCCGGCCCCACGCCGCCTCCTCCACCCACACGGGCCACCAGGAGCCCCGGGGCCCGGCGATTTCCCCCCGAGGGTGCCGTGTCCCCTGTGGAGAGCCCGGGGATGCCGGACAGCCCCTGGGGACAGAGCCCGGGCTCCTCGCTGGGCCGCGGTGCCCCGGCCGGGCGCGGTGGCTTTGCCCGGCCTCAGCCCGTGCTGGCGAGCCCGGAGGCAGCAGCGGGCACGGGGAGGGGGCGGCTGGAGGCCGGGCAGGCGGCAATGGAGGAGTTAACTTCCATCCTCGCCGCGGGAGTCGGGAGCTATTAATACTCGCACGCTGCTTTAGCTGTCAGAGCGAGCGGCGGCTCTGCCGGTGAGAGAGAGACGCTCCACGACGGTACAACTTTCCCCCTTCTTCGGTGTGTTCGGCTGCCGGACCTTTCCAGACCTTTCCAGACCCTTCCAGACCGCGCTGGGTCCCGCCAGGACCCCACCTGCTGCCGGGAACACTTTCCCCTCACGGCGGGCGCTGTCCGGTGCCGCGGGCCTCTGAAGCACCGCGGGGCTCGGCCGGTGCCTCGGCCCGTCCTGCCGGAGCCCTGGGGCTGCCGATGCCATCCCAGGTCCCTGTTGGCACCCGCTGAGGACTGGCGGTGTCACCATGGGCCGGGCAGAGCGATGGGTGCCGGGGTGGCCCCGGGCATCGCTGGCCCCGGCGTGAGGGCGACGCGGGACGCGGCACAGCCCGGAGCGGCCTCGGTGCCCGGGGAGCGGCCGGGCCCGGCCGTGTGAGGGGCTCCCCGACACCATGGCCCTGGGAGGGCCGGCCTGAGCCTCCGGCCACCGCCGGCGCTGGCGAGGAAGATGCCAAGAGCCCTCCGGCACTGCCTGCCCTGCGGTCACCCTCGCCCGGGCGCGGTGGCCACCGGAGCTGAGCGATGGATTCCTTCTGCTTCGTCTGCTTCCAGAAAGAGGAGCTGCAGCCCCTGCACCTGCACAGGTCAGAGCCGCAAGCCGGGACAGCCCCGGGGGGGACAGTGCCAAAGTTTCCTTGGGAGCCGGCGCATCCTCTCCTGGCCAGAGGAGTCCGGTGCTGTGCAGAGCACGTGTGTCCGGCCGGGATGTGCTTCCCTGGCAGCAGCTCTCCAGGGAGCCCGATGGGCATCCCGAGCCGAGCCGTGCCAGCTCAGCGGTGCTGCTGTGCCTGGCCAGCAGCATGTTGCACCCACTGCCTCCCGGAGCCATCCCAGAACCATCCCCGATCCACCCGGAGCCGTCCCACCCACCCCGGCTCACCGGAGCAGGGTCCCTGGGCAGTGCCTGCTCCTCCCTGCCCGGCTGGTGCCGGGGGCCCAGTGCAGCTGGGGGTCCCCAAGGAGAGCCACGAGGCTCCCCGAGGCCTGTCCCCCTGGGCAGCAGCACCGGCACTCGCCTCCCCCTTCCCCGAAATCTCCTCTCCCACCGGCGCTGCTGACAGCCAGGGGGAAGGTGGCGGTGCCGGAATTAGCCGGGCAGCCGGCAGGATGCGAGGTGTGAGTGCTGGCACATGTTGTGCCCAACTGCTCCTCCGTGGCACCGAGCCACTGCCGAGCTCCTGGCCCACGCTGCCAGCCCCGGGCACAGCCCCTGCCCGCTCCAGCCAGGAGCTCTCCAGGCACTGGCTGTCCCCAGAGAGGTCTGGGGGAGCCTCAGGGCCATCAGCTGGATCAATCTATGCAGTCTGTCCTTCCTGCCGGGTTGCAGGAAGCTGTAGGATTTGTTTTGGTGTAAATCATGAGTTTATAGAGCCTCAGTTCCCGTGAGTCAGTGCCTAGGTGGGGGAACAGAGGTACCGGGGGTCGAGAGGGCCCAGGTGTGGGTGCTGCTGGCTGGGGGGGATGCACAGAATTCCCAGGGCTGCTGTCCCACAGCCCAACTCGGGCTCGGAGCTGACCAGAGGCATCCAGCCCTTGTCAGGCCACAGGTGGCATGAGTTTGGCATCCTCAGCCAGGGAGGGAGCAGCCGGGGTGGCAGTGTGGTGGCCCATGGTCCCGCAGGGTGGCTGCAGGGACGGCGAGGGACGGACACCCATGGCTTGTGCCCTTCTCCCTGTCCTGCCCTGCTTCAAGGTGGGCTGCACTGGGGGGGTGGGGGGGTGTTCGGTCCCTGAACACTGCCCTGGTTGTCACCAGCTTGTCCCTGAGTCTTCTCCATCCCGTGGGGACACAGCTGCCATCGCCTGTCACCTCCAGCACAGCCCCACCGGGCTGGGCTCCCCGGGCTGACAGGAGGCGCTGCCAGAGGCGCTCCCTGTCCTGGCACCGCCCCGGCGCTGGTCCTGCCCCTGTGCCGGGGGCAGTGCGGTGGGTGCTGTGCCAGTGTGTCTGTCCCCCATGTCTGCCCCCACTTGTTTATGTTTGTCCTCCCGTGTCTGTCCCCACGTCTCTTCCCAGTGTCTCTCCCCTCTGTTTGTCCCCTTGTGTCTGTCCTCACGTCCTCTTTTCTGTCTGTCCTCTTTTCCCCGTGTCAGTGCCCGTCCCCCGTGTCTGTCTGTCCCCCCGTGTCTGTCTGTCCCCCCGTGTCTGTCTGTCCCCCCGTGTCTCTCCCCCCATGTCTGTCTGCCCCCCGTGTCTGTCTGTCCCCCCATGTCTGTCCCCCGTGTCTGTCCCTGTCCCCCCGTCTGTCCCCGTCTCCCCGTGCCCATCCCCGCAGCCTCTAGATGGTGCCAGGAGAACGGGCAGCGAGCGGAGGCGGCGGGCGGTGCCGGCTGCTCTTGGGGTACCGCGGTACCGGGGGGCCAGGGCGGGCCCCGCGCTCCCCCCGTGCCCCCAGTTCAGTCCCTCCTTCCCCTGGAAGAAACCCGTTCTGCTTCTTCTGCCAAGCAGCGCATCCCAAAGAACCCCGGCTGTCCCGTTCGGTCCCAGGGGCTGGACAGCCCTCGCTGTGCTCCAGGGCCAGCACCATTCCCGAGATCCCGACTGCTGCCGCCGCTGCCCAGCCCTGCCCGGGGGATCCATCCCTTCGGCCGCTGTTCCCCGCCCGCCTGCTCGGTCCTTGCTAGCCCCGGGACCGGCTCCGGGCCGGGGTCAGCGCCCCGAGGGTCGCAGACAGGGGCTCGGTGTGTGCCCATCCCCAGCGGGGCTGTCCCCGGCTGCGGCCCCTCCCTGACCTTGGGAGCAGCCCCTGTGAATCTCGTCCCGGCTGTCCCCGGTGGGATGGCAGCAGGAACACGGGGGGACACCGAGCTGGGGGGCTCTGAGTCCCTCGCTCCCCCCGCGCTCCGGGAACCAGCTCCCACCACCTCCTTTCCCCTGGGAATCCTCGTGGATGAGCTCTGTCCCCAGGGCCTCAGGGGACACCCGACACGAGTGGTGCCCCCCGGGCTGGGGGCGGAGGGTGCTGGCCCCGCAGGAGCTCCCCGGGAGGAGCGGGTCCTCTCCGCCCGTGCTGCCGTTCCCGGCGTGCTCCGCTCCCGCTTTCCCTCCCTCCTTCCCTCCGCTGCCGCTTCCCAGCATCCCCGCAGCATCCCCGGCAGCTTTGGCTCCTGTCACCGGAGCGCGGCAGGCGCGGGTGGCCGTGGGACCCCGGCCCCGTGCGGGGCTCAGCCCCTCGGCTCCCGCTCTGACCGAGCGATGGCAAAGGGACAAAGCGACCTTCTCGCTGAATTCCGAGGGGACTTGGCACGCTGGGAATATTTTGGGCTTTCCAGGTCATTTCCCGCTGCCCACCCTGTCCAAGCACATCCCACGGCACGAGCCGGATATTCCGCAAATCCCAAGGGTGCTCATGATCCCTCGGGGAGGCGGGGGCTCTTCGCACGGTTTGGGATTGCACGAGGTGATAAACATATTTGATCTGGCTCCTTTCATCTCGTTAATCTTAATTAGTTATTAATATTCCGGGAGTGCTTTGAAGACCACGAGCTCAGTGCGAGCGCTCCCTGGTACAACTGGTGTTACTATGGCTCAGCTCAGGTGTCACCCACGCACCACTGAGGGGCAGGGACACCCCAGAGGGACCTGACGGGCCCCACGCAGCCCCACGGAACCCCCCGGAGTCACATGGAGCCTCGCTGAGCCCCACAGAGGCCTGGCAAGCTCTGAGGAGCCCCATGGAGCCCCAGAGATCCTTATGGAGCCCCACAGATCCCCACAGAGCCACGTGGACTCCCACAGAAACTCAAGGAGCCCTGCTCAGCCCCACGGAGCCCCACACAGCCCCACTGAGTTCCACAGAGCCCCGTGGAGTCCCAAAGAGCCTTGCTGAGCCCTACAAAGCCCCATGAAGATCTGCTGAACCCCACGGAGTCCCATGGAGCCCTGATAAGCCCCACAGAGCCCCATGGAGTCCCACAGAGCCTCACAAAGCCCTGCCAAGCCCCACAGAGCCCCACAGAGCCCTGTCAAGCCCCAAAGAGCCCCACAAAGCCCTGTCTAGCCCCACAGAGCCCCAGGAAGCCCTGCCAGGCCCAGCTGGTGCCAGTGCCAGCTCAGCCCTGTGTGCCCAGGGCACAGCAGCAGGACAGTGGCACTGGGAGCTGACCCCCACGTGTGGCACTGTCCCTGCAGCCCCCTCCATGGTCCCTGGGCCGGTCCCCGGGCAGCGGCACCTCCCGCCTGACCTAGAAACAGCCCCGAGCTATAAATAGGGAGAGAGATGACAGCGAGCTCGGAGGAGCCGCTCGGAGCGCCGCGAGCGGGAGGCTGCGGGAGCCAGGATGGCACCGCAAGGACAGGCAGGGGACACGGGGGGAGAGGAGCCTCGGGAAGGGGCCAGGCTGGAGCCACCCCATCCCCAGCAGCTCTGCCTTTCCCCGGCCCGTGTCTGCTGCTGCGGTGACCCAGAGAGCAGCCCGGCTCTGCCCATCTCCTACAGCTTTCCTCTTTCGCACACCTTCACTCCTCAGGCGCTCTCCTGCCCTGTGCCAGCTCTGTCCCGAGCACCGGCAGCCCCAGGCAGCCCAGCCCGGCTGGCCGGGTCACTGCGCTCCAGCATTTCTCCTCCCAGTGCCATTCCGATGCTTCCACCCCGGGGGGAATCATCCATACTTGGAGCATCCCAGCCGCAGGAGCCGGGAGCTGTGGCAGGAGCCGGCGAGCGGAGCGGGATGGAGGGGCCGGTCCCGGGAGCCTCAGCCGCTCCTCCCGGGCCCTGCCCGGGGCTGGCGGTGCTCAGCTGGAAGAAGAGGGTGACGGTGGCACAGCCGATGCCGGCACAAATTAAAGCGGAGTGTCGGAGTGTGATTCAGCCTCTTGCCTTGAAGTCATTCATGAAAAGACTTAATTGGGCTGCATCCTGAGCGGAGCAGAGCCATCAGTGAGTCAGTGCCGATGGCTCCCCGGCCCTCCCCGGTGTGTGGGGCCTCAGGGGGCAGTGGGACGGCCCCGGTCTCAGCGGAGAGGGCACAGCTGATGTGGGGGAACAGTCCGTTCTCCCCCTCGCAGCGTGGGGCAGCCCCACGACTGTGGGTCCCTTTAAAGTGACATCACGGGAGGAAAAGGAGCTGGCACCCAGCTGAGAAACAAAGAAGTCCCAAAGCAAATCCTGGCCCGTGTTAAACACCCCTGCTTGGCCTTGGTGTGCACAGAAGGAAATCCGGGAAGAAGAGGTGTGTCCAGGGATGCTCCAAGAGGGAGCACAGTGCCAACCCCTTGCCTTCCTCTGGGAGCCCAGAGCAGCTGTGGCTGCCCCTGGACCCCTGGACATGTCCAAGGCCATGTTGGATGGGGTTTGGAGCAGCCTGGGATAGTGGAAGGTGTCCCATGGCAGGGCTTGGAACGAGATGATCCTGAAGGTCCCTTCTAACCCAAACCATTCCCTGACCCAGGCTGGGCATCACCCACACCACGGGGGCATCACCTGTGCCAAAGGAGAGGGAACAGAGTCTGGGAGAGCTCAAGGACAGCAGGGCCCAGGGAAGCACCGGGCAGCAGGACACGGTCCTGTGCTTTTGGCACAGTGCTGGTGATGCCCAAGCTCCAAGCTTGGGCTGTCGGGTCCCTGTGTGGGGTAGGGTGTGA